GTTTCCCTCCAATCCTTCATTTATATGTTATCCTTCTCCCCCACTTCTTTCTTTCCCTTCACACATTCTCTTCTCCACTCAACTCACACAGGAATCACACAATGCTCAATACAGTCATGTGTCAAGTGATTTTAACCATTATGTTTGATATCATTTGAAATGTCTTGGTGCTGACATTACCTCTCTAACTCATTCAGAAAAAGTTATAATCATAATAAAGATTTGAAACTTTCTATTCTTTAAACTGTCTTCACAGGGTGTGCCCTTACTGGGGGCTTCCATTCAAATGACCACTTGTCCCCATAAGGCATGCACTCTTCAAATCTCGCATTCCACTCATTTAGATACACCTGGAGCAAATTCTGTCTCGGTCTAAGTATTTAAGCAAAAAAAGGCAAGAGGTTCAGGGCGATTGTGTAGCCAAATCAACCTTTACGCCGCACTGTAAAGAAAATCCATAAATTTGCAGTTTTTCGTATTTTGTGTTTCACTTTTTGCCTGTTTATTTATGGTTTTGAATTGCATCATGGCACCTTGACCTTTTAATGTTAAATCTTTAAAAAAATGACTTTTGTTGACATGTTAATTAGTTTGAAGTTATTAATTGTCTGTATTAGTGTTTTAAATGACATTACAAAACCTGGTCATAAACTGCCAGAACATTTTGCACAGTTGAATATTAACATAAAAAGACAGAGCAGAGATCAAAATAAACCATAAAGAAATGGAAATGCCTGTGGATCCCAAAATACAGAAACTTTCAATTAACGTATATTTTTTTACAAAGTATGTCTTTCTAAATCTCTCTATAAATCAGGTCAGGTATGCACTCTAAACTGTAAAAAAAATATCAGTTAATTAACAGTTTCCTCATTTTGGGATTTAGTGAAGTGTTTTCCATTAATTTAGGCTTGTACATTGCATTACGACAGCTTAATCTCTGCTCTGTTGACTTTTGATGTTGAAAATTCAACTCTACAGTTGAACAAAATGATTTTTATTGACATTTTAGAAGTTTATTTTTTGTAGCCTAATTTACAACACCAACCCAGACAATTTATCATGTTAAACTATTAAAAATGTTGATAACAGTCACAATAAAAAATAAAAACATGATTTATAAAATACAGAAAACTGCAAAAACAGTGTAAACATGGTTTAGTCTCAGGGTGTTTTTATTGTTATATTATTCTAATTACGTAGGTGAATTTTGATTACCACCAGGGATAGTTCACCCAAAAATGAACATTTCCTCACCATTTACTCACACTCAAGTAGTTCTAAACATTTATGAATTTCCCTCTTCTGTTGAACACAAAATAAGACATTCTGAAAAATGTTGGAAAAAAGCAGCCATCGACATCCATAATGGCAGTTAATAGCTCCTGCTATCTAACTTTTTTCAAAATATGTTCCTTTGCGTTCAACAGAAACTCAAACAGTAAAAGAGAGTGTGAGTAAATGATGACAGAATTGTCATTTTTGGATATACCTTTAAATTTACCAGTTAAAGAAGTAAGCTGGTCTGCTTGACTCGGCTATGATGATAATCATGACATGGTAGTAGGTGCAGCTCTATGGTTACTCCATAATATATTCTAGAATCAGCAAATAGTGTACGGCCTACTATAATAATAAAAATTGCTTCTGTCTAGTGACAATTGTACTCTAAACTCGGCCAGTAAATATTATAGGAATCAGAAAAAATGAGTATAATATAGGTGGCTCAGTGGTTAGAACTTTCACCTCACAACAAGAAAGTCGCTTTGTTGAGTCCTAGCTGGACCAGTTGTCATTTCTGTGTGGAGTTAGCATGTTCTTCCCGTGTTGGTGTGAGCTTCCCTCGGATGCTCTGGTTTCCCCCACAGTCCAAAGACATGAGCTATAAGTGAATTGGATGAACTAAATTGACCGTTGTGTGTGTGTGTGTGTGTGTGAGTGTGACAGTATATGGATGTTTCCCAGTACTGGAGGGGCATCCACTGCGTAAAACATACGGAATAGTTGGCGGTTCATTCCGCGGTGATGACCCCTGATAAATAAGGTACTTAGCCGAAATGAAATGAATAACTGAATGAATGAGTATAATATAGAGAACAGTAACGAGTTAAACAGAATAATGAAACATTCACCTAAATCAATTAATATTTTTGGCAAAATTGTCTCATTAAATTGGAGTCATATATGAGTGTAATAGCAACTATATTAGAATTGTGCATTGAAAAGACCGTTGCGTTGAAAAGACAATCAGCCGCCATTGGACACTATCATTGGACCCTTACATTGCAATACAAAAATAGGATGTGAATTGTAATTTATGATGATTAACTGGTCTGAAATAAATAGTCTCACCAGGTTAGCATGACTCCAGACAGAAAGGTGGAAATGTAGTGGTGGAAAACCCACCAACCTTTAATCCTATTAAAAAAAAACAACAACAACTAAAAACTCATCTATATATTAATATAAGCTCAAAAACAAATACATTTAAGTGCATTTATATACATCAAAAAAAGTAATTAATTACTAACTAAAAATTACTTTAAATCAGTGGTCACCAAACTTGTTCCTGGAGGGCCGGTGTCCTGCAGAATTTAGCTCCAACCCTAATCAAACACACCTGAACCAGCTGATCAAGGTCTTACTTGGTAGACTTGAAACATCCAGGCAGGTGTGTTGAGGCAAGTTGGAGCTAAACCCTGAAGGGACACTGGCCCTCCAGGACCGAGATTGGTGACCCCTGCGTTTAAATACTTGAAACAATATCACAAAATCACTAGAAATCTAAATGCATAGACAGATAATAATCCATATTAAAAATGTATATTTTTATATAGAGTCAGACAGGGTCTTTTAGCTTTATTAAAAAATAAAAAGTATATTTTATGTATCAAAGTAATCATACCACATTTCATTCAGACCATTATTGTTATTAATTTCTGCTTATTAAGCATGTTTAATCATCTTAAAAAAAGAAACCTTTAGCTATTCTGCAAATTATATTTCTATAACAAAAATGATTATAGTCTGCTTTTCTGAACTGATTTATACAGAACTGTTGAATATGTACAGTGTTTAAGGCAAGTACATCAAAAGTAACTAAAAAGTGAAAAGTAATCGCTTACTTGTAACTAATTGCACCTAATGACCGACAGCTTTTAAATCCATTATTATATTAAATCCATTATTATTTTCAGAACTGAAAGTCTCTGATATATTCTAACCTGGATCCATTGCTGATGAGGATGCTTTCACGGATGGTCAGTGTGCAGTAATACCAAACCAGCAGGAAGTTGAGAAGAGCGTCCAAGAATCTGCAGACACACAAGAAGGTGTGAAGTGTGATGTGAGGGTAGACTTTCAGACAAAGCCGTGTAAACTCAGTCAGTTTTACCTGTAGTTGACGAAGAAGCAGCAGATGAAGGTGAGCAGGAAGTGAGTCACCGTCACATACAGTTTAAACCGCTCATACTCATCTTTGTATTCAGCTCTGCAATGCAAATATGCTGTATATGAAACTATGCACAAAAAAGATGTTTGTATTTTTCTGCCAGCATAATTCTATACTGATTACATTTATTGAGATTTGAATCCATATACACTAAAAATTATTTATAATTATAATATTTTCTGTTTTCACAATGGTTCAAATGTTATAGCGTTTTATATATATATATATATATATATATATATATATATATATATATATATATATATATATATATATATATATATTTATATTGATTACTTTATTACGTGTTAATCAGTGGTGTAAAGTAACTTATTACAAATACTCAAATTACTGTAATTGAGTAGTTTTTCTCAGGAATAAGTAGTTTTTAAAAAATGTGCACTTTTACTTCCCCTTGAGTACAGTACATTATTAGTGCAGTATCAGTACTTTTACTCCACTACTTTCCTTCAACCTGCAGTCTCTACTTTATTTTTTCTTGTCTATGGGGATTAGAAAGATCAGTCCTGTGATTCTTGTCTAATCAAATTGCATATAGAAGATAAATCACATCATAATGATTTACCTTAAGAAATGGGCAATTTATAATTGCAGCAAACTGTTTGGAAGAATTAAAAATGTCCAAGATGATGTCTAAATTATTTGCACGCAGTGATGTTACAGCTTCACATTGTGTGGACATTACCAATATGACGTCTATCAGATGTAGGATTTTGGTGGTCATACACAAGGAATAAATGTCAGTATTTGACATCAATATGATGTTGGTTTAAGATCTTGGCTCAACGTTGGATTTTGGTCACTTTCACAACCTAAAATCAATCAAATATCAACATCATTTGACATTGTTATTGGACATCAAAATAAAATAGTCCTTAGACGCTGACTAGACATTGAATTTTGGTCACCTGACATCACAACCTAAATCTAACCTAATATTAACGTCTTATAGCGTTGTGTGCCTGCTGGGCAATAACTAAACGCACTACAGAATGTTACGTTTACACACATTCACTAATTAGATGCAAATGCATCAGCTTTTTACAGTGTAATACTCACTACTCTTGAGCACTTTTGAAAGGGCTACTTTTTACTCCTACTTTGAGTAATATTTACAACAGATACTTTTACTCTACTTGCACTACATTGTTTGGCAAGTAACGATACCTAGCATAAGTATGATTTTTCAGTACTCTTTCCATCACTGGTGTTAATCAATTTAACTTTTTTTTGTGTGTTTTTAGTTTAGTTTAGTTCAATTAAAATGAGAAAAATATTTCCTTGGCAGGAACCTGGAATATTATAAATATTGAAATTTTGTATAGATAAAATGGAATTTAATTAACTAAATATTAAAGATATTAAAAACTGGTTGTGAGTGAAACATTTATCATTTTCTTTTAAGTTAACTTATATTAAAATATCTGAAACTAACTAAAATGATTATAAACTAATAAAAAATTTAATTAATGAAAAAATGTTTTACCAAATATATATATATATATATATATATATATATATATATATATATATATATATATATATAATACCAAATTATATATATATAATAAAAACTTATTTAATTTTGTTATTTGTATAAACATACAAAGTACTGAAGTTTTAAGTATATAATTTTTTTGTGCTTACTTGGCATCTTTGCTAGGAAGGTTAACATTCACGCTCCCAAGGACAAGGCTGAGATAAATCCTTGAAAAAAAAAGCAGAAGTAACAACTTCTAATATTTACTGAACTTGATGTAAATAAGCTGCTGAAATATTCTCATTTGAATAATCATGTACCCATTCTTCTTTGGAAGAAATGCTTCCATTTGAAAGATCTGGCTTGGCATATTTCGGATGTGATCTTTGGCCTCCTTTACTGCATTGCTCTCCTCTTCTGTCAGGCCTTTATTGAGTCTACAATTCAGAGCACAACAACCATCTGTAAACGTCAAAGTTAAATACTTATTAAATGAGACAAAACAAAAACACATTTTATTTACTTAATCAAAGATTTTAAATTCTCCTTTAAATTCTTTTTCTGTCGTGCCAAAGAGGCAGCAAAGCTTTTCTGAAGTTTGGACACTTCCTCTAATTTCTGCAGGTAAAGCCGATGGGTCTCCTGTAAAGGACAATTCATTTTAAAATAAAAGTTGTGTTGCACAAACATCACATGCAGATTTAAAACAGATTTAATAAGATCTTACCTGAAGCTGCTGAAATTCTTTCTCCTGAGTCTTCCATTCTTGAAGAGCTGCTGCGAGTGCCTTCGACATGTAGTTGTTCAGTTTGTAGTGTTGTTCAGTTTAAATTATAAGATTCCTCTTAGTTAAAAGGCAGATCTGATAATAACAAACTGATGTAAGCAGAAATGTTAAATAATTTGCTGGATATTCAGAGATCTTCAGTTTAGAAGCATGTCAGTTGGTAGTCTTCGTCGTATCTCTTATTTCTTAGTGATTGCAATATGGGTTTGAACTTTGTAGTGAACTTTGACAGACCAGCTTGACTGACCTTTAACACACTTGGTTGTCTGCGCTTTATAGGAAGGGCTATGTATTTAGAACAACACTGCGAATTCAGCTATATAATAACGTGAAATTGTGTTTATTAAAGAAGTTCTAGTGAAGATCTGAAAGAATTATTTCTTTAGAATTTGCCATATTCTGTACAACATGAAAGCATTGGATTCATGCTGCCTTGTAACAATGGGTCAGGTTTCTAGTGGTGTGATGATGTGGGTAATATTTTCTTGGCACAACATTGGGTATTTTGGTACACACCAGAGCCTACCTGAGTTTTATATAATCCCTTTACTTCATTACCCATCCTGGACCATCAGGATAACACAGTGTCACAAAAGCGAATCCAAAACTAGTTTCTTGAACACGACAAGGAGTTTACTTTACAAAAATGGCCTCCACAGTCACCAAATGGCAACCCAAAAAGTGCACCTTGGAATGTGTTGTAATGGGAGCTTTTCATCAAGAATGTGCAACAGACAAATCTGCTGCAGCTACATAATATTCTGACCTCAATTTAGGGCAGAATCTCTGAGGAATGTTTCCAGCAGCAAAATGAATTTATGTTATACAAATCTGAGGCAGTTCTCAAGGCATAGAGGGGACCAACCCAGTAGTAGCACCCAATAAAGTGTCCAGTGAGTGTTCAGAGTCCAGTCATTCATGCTCTAAGGTCTCATGCATTAGTTGCATAATCCAATAATCCCTCATAAATTCCACTGGTGTAAAAGAACACTTGCGGAATACAAGAACAGCTGAAACAATGAGATCTTGACCTTTGGTCGACAGATAACATTCAGCTTACTTCATTCAGGTGTAATTTAAAGAGTTTTATTTCAACATCTTCATCTATACTGCCTTATCAGCTAGAAATTTCAATGAATACGACATAGGCTACATTGATTGTCCTAACTGCTAATTTTATAGTATTGACTTTGGTTGGAAAGTTAAGGTTACTAGGTTTTGCTATGGTTAATTTTAGGGCATTAGAGACAATGTGTTGTTTGTTATTAGGCCTTTTAATAAGTATAACAAATAGTATATATATTTGTTACCTGATAATCATTAGCGAATCTCAATCACCTTCAATAAGTGGGCATTTGTCATAAAACAAACAGTTGTTGTTTTTTTTTTATTTGTCCACGAGCGGCCCCTTGCGTTCACTCGTCATTGAATATACGCACCGCGCATGCGCATTCCTTCGACTGTATTATTATTGACCTGAGCAATATGTAAACTGCGCAGGGGGATGGCCTGTCAAGAAACATTGGACTGCAAGCCCATGGGGTGGGTTTTCAAAGAAATGCATGAAGGTGGAACTAAAGCAGGGTCTAATCTTACTGATACTATATGTTCTGTCTTGAAGATTCGCTCGGGTTTCTTCTGATCGCGGATACAGTGCGGCGGCGGCTGGCCAGCGGTGCTGGATGAAACCGGCCGGTGCGGTGACACTTACTTTTCAATGAATTTTTCATCAAACAAGTGATTTTACAGGACTTACTCGCTTGTCCGACTGAATAAAGTGAAAATGAGCGCCGTGGTTTACGTTTTATCCACGGTCACCGGATATGTGCTAACCTCGGCGTTTCTGCTGAAGTGTCCGTCTCTGCTTCACCGGCGAAAGAGAGAAGCCTTCCGGAGCAGACACATCTCTCACCGCGGCGGTGAGTGCACTGACAGCAGACCAGACCGGCCAGACAGTCGTCTGGGACTGTCTCTTCTTACTGTTCATACAGTAACTTTTATTTCGTTGTACTTTTAAGTGTTAGTAACTAAAATCTACTGAATTATGATGTACAAGTGCTGACTAGGTAGGAAGTAAAGGGTTTTGGTTTTGATATGTAGTCAATGAATGAGTGTCACAGCAGCAACAACAAAAAGACCTTTTGCCACAGATTTGTATTATATATATATATATATATATATATATATAATGTTCACGTTGGGCCAGTGTTGGTCCATAGGGTTCATTATTGACTAGTACTAGATACTGGTCTTTGAATGGACACTGGAGTGGGTGGACTGTGAACCCTGGAAATACTTTACATACTATACACAGTCATGACTCTTGGTTGTGTGTGTGTGTGTGTGTGTGTGTGTGTGTGTGTGTGTGTGTGTGTGTGTGTGTGTGTGTGTGTGTGTTATTTAAATGTATTAATTGATTTGTTTTGCTTCAGGGGCTGGTGAGAACTTGGAGAACACAATGGCAGCCTTCAAGCAGTGAGTTGCTGTTTATTGCTCGGATTTGCATTGATGAGTGTGACTGCTTAATATGCCTAATATACTTTACAAAGTGCACTAAATCCCAATGTACACTTAAGTTTTCACATGTACGTGCAAGTCCACATTATATGAATTTTGCCATCAGAACAGTATGCACAAACTGACCATGTACTGCCTGAGCTCATTTGCACTTTGAATTGTTTTGCATTATTTACTGTACTGTAGTTTGGCCATATGTCAGTACTCAACCCGGGTAGGAAAAGAAATGGTGGAGTCAGATCAAGAACAACTACACATTGTTGAAGAGGGCAAAACAATAGATGGGTGGAATATAAAATGTCTGCAACTCTGTTTTAAACTATTACAAACGTATAAGCTTTGGAGCTTTAAAAGTGCAGACACTAGATGAGGATGAACTTTGAGCACATGCCTGCTTTCAAATAGTATATATTTAGGGAGGCCATGCATTTGAATGTGCATGAATGCTAAAGTACACAAAAAAATCAAGTTTACTTTCCTAACGTAATGCTATATGTTGGCACATAGCTCAGTCTCCTTTTTAATGTTTACTTCATTTGATAAAATGCACAAAAACATCTGCTGGACACATTTGTTGAGCCACAAATATGCCTTTGTAAATAGTGTTCGTCAAAGTGGCATCATCAGCTTATAAAAATACAAGAGAGATCTGAATGAAAATCTTTGTCTATAAAAGGTAAGTGCTTTCATTACTCTGCGTTTTGTTTTTGTTTTTTCCAGTGCTGTTAAACTAGGCACGGACATGTTGGAGCTGGACTGTCATTTGACCAAGGATGAGCAGGTGGTGGTATTGCATGACTCCAGCCTGAAGAGGTCGACTGGCATTAATGCATACGTTGCTGATGTGGCTTATGCTGTAAGTTCTTCTAATTATTTACTATATTCACACCGAAAGTCTAAATATTTATAATAGTGCCTGGCTGCAGACTTGCGCGCTCAGACATGCACTTAACAGATGAAGTGACGTCACTACAAGGGTCTTAGGCAGGGTTGGGTGTAGATGTTCTTGAGAGTGCATGTCTGAGCGTGGATGTGCACTCAATCTGCACTCAGACCCTTCTTCAATATTTGAGACTTTAAAGTTGGTACCATACTATTATGCTGTGATGTTAAATTATGTTTGTCTTCTTAGGATCTTCCTCCTTACCTCTGTAAGCTTGGGGTCAGTTTCAAACGAGGTGAGTGTTCAGTCCAGATAATGTGCAAATAAAAGTTTGATTAAGGGTAATATATAATGAATTGAAAATAAAAATCTGAATAAAATGTATTTATTATATGTAAATGTGAATTCTAAAACTGATTTCTGTCATTAATCAAATGGAATTTCATTTGGAACAGTGATAATGTGCGTCTTTTCCAAATAGAGGAACATTATTATCACATATTATAAAAACCGTGTGGATTTTATGCAGTTTGAGTGATTCTGTAGTTACTGCAAACGGGGATATGCTACCTAAAGACTTGCATGTCTGACTGTGGCATTATTCTTGATGTGTTTCAGACTGCTACTGTGAAGGAGGAGAAGACAAACGCATCCCCCTGCTGAGAGACGTGTTCGAAGCTTTCCCAAGCACCCCGGTAAACATCGACATCAAGGTCAACAATGACACCCTCATCAAGAAGGTGTGTGGGATTTGCTGTTCTACTCAAATTTCATTTCCTCCAATCCTCTTTCTATGCTGCTGTTTGTCACCACTTAAATTAATCAGGTTAGAGAGTTGAATTTGTCTGAAGCAGACTTTTACCTCTTTTTTTTTTGTCAGGTGTCTGAGCTGGTCATTCAGTATAAAAGGCAGGATCTGACCGTCTGGGGAAACTCCAGCAATGAAATTGTTAAGAAATGTCACAAAGAGGTGAGAAATGTATACTTTTTTTTTTTTTTAAAGGAAAATTTGTTTTAATCTGACTAAATGAAATGTACTAAAGATCTAAGCATCTGATGTTTTCTATTGTCTTGCAGAATCCACAAATCCCAATCTTGTTCAGTTTGCCTAGGGTGCTTCTGTTACTAGGTCTATTCTACACTGGCCTTCTGCCCTTCGTCCCAATAAAAGAACAATTCCTGGAGATTCCCATGCCTTCAATTGTTTCCAAGTGAGGACCATATTCATTTTAGTCATATATGTGTCAATGATGTTTAAAAAAAAAAGGTTTTCAAGCAACAGAAATAAGTGTGTCCCTTTTGTCCTGAAAAAAAAACAACAACAATGTCCATCATACATTTTATAATATTTTACAGAAAATATACCAATACAATGTAGGGTTGGGCGATGTTGACCAATTTTGGCATTCATTCATTCATTTTCTTTTCGGCTTAATCCCTTTATTAATCTGGGGTCGCCACAGCGGAATGAACCGCAAACTTATCCAGCATATGTTTTTACACAGCGGATGCCCTTCCAGCTGGAACCCATCTCTGGGAAACACCCATACACACTTATTCACACTCATAAACAAACAATTTAGGCTACCTGATTCACCTGTACCGCATGCCTTTGGACTGTGGGGGAAACCGGAGCACCCGGAGTAAACCCACGCGAACGCAGGGAGAACATGCAAACTCCACACGGAAACGCCAACTGACCCAGCCGAGGCTCGAACCACCGACCTTCTTGCTTTGAGGCGACAGCACTACCTACTGCGCCACTGCGTCAAATTTGGCACTGTACGATGTCTAATGTGAAA